TCATGTTAAAATGCTCACATATATTAAAAACTTAAAAACAATATATAAGAAATTTATTTCTTTTTTCTTTTTTTTTTTTATCACCAACCATTTTTCAAGTTTAAAACACTCATTTCAAAGTTAATTTAAAACATCTATGAGAGATAAAAATTAGGGGATTTGAAGACTTACAAATTTTACACTTAAAAAATAAAAAAGAATATTGTATAAGTTTTAAAAAAATAATTTTATTTTAAAATTACTTAAACTTTCATTTTAGCTCAATCTTGAAAATATTTCTTTATTATAATTTTCTCTAAAATTTGATTTCTTAATAAAAATATTAGAGTTCAACACCATTTTTCTTTTAAAGAATAAAAGCTCTAGTGAAGTAAGTCATAGTGATTTTTTAAAAGTAAATAATGCTAAAATTATATCAAGTCCAAGTAAAAACAATTTTCTTCGAATATCAATTTGAACTTGCATTTTCAAGTAAAACTCATTAAAATTTTCTTTTCTTAAAACCATTAAAATCAAAATTATATTATGTCCAAGGAAAATAAATATTCTTTGAAATAGCAAATGGACTTGTATTTATACTCAAATAAATAAATTTTAAAGTAAATTTATGATGAGAGATATACATAAAAATCTAATGCAAATTTGTTTGTAAGACACTTAAAGTTTTTATCATTTAAAAATAATGATCAATTTAAAGTTAACAATTTTTTCTCTCTCTCTTAGGGTTTTGTGTTTAGGGATTTATATGATAAGTTTGAGAAACTGCATAGGTGAAAGCCTAAGAAAGAGATAAAGGAAGGTTTGGTGGTCATTAACGGTGCAGTGGCGATGACAACTCAATGGATCTAGGTTTTTAGGTTTCATACTTTTTGGGTTTTTCATAAATGAAAAAGGAGTTTTTTTTTTTTTTTTACAAAATTGAAGTCGATAGTTTTGTAGAATAGATTGAGCATTTAGGTAAATATTAGGACAATTTCATTACTAGGAAGACACGACAGAAGAAGGTGGTGGCCATAATAGTAAAATGATGAAATTTAGAAAAAAAATGATAGAGGTTTGGGTTAAAGAGCGAAACAAAATATAGCGATAGAAGAAGAATTGAAGAAATTAAAATAATTTTGACTTTTCTATTATATACAAAGATCAAAATGGTGTAATTTGAAAAAAAAAAATTTAAGAAATGAAAGAATGAAAATAGATAGGTCGGATTTGACTCGTAAAGGCTCGATAGGGATTTTTCCTTGCTAGACCTTTGGCTAATTCTGTATTTTGGACTCACTCATAAATATAATAAGGTATGATTTATTTATTTATTTATTATTATTATTAAATTAAATATTATTTTTATTATTATTTTAATTAAAAACTTTGTAAAAATTGTCTCTTTGCAAAATTTGGGATTCAAAGTAAATTAAATTTATGAAATTGCTTTAAAAACTAAAAAATAATAAAAATAAAATACCTATATGAAATAATTCAAATAAATGTGAATGATAATCACAAAAGCTTTGATATTTATTAATAATAATTTAACAATAATAAATAATTTTTATTTTTGAGATTGCAAATTAAATGATTTTTTATGTCACAATTGCATTGTTATTGTTAAAAAAATTGATAATATGAACATTAAGACTTTTTGTACCATCAACAAAAATATGTGTTAAGTTATATAATAAAATATAAATATTTTTAAAAATACACACTTGCAAATACATTTGTATTTAATTTTCATAATTAATAAAAATAATTACATTAATATTAATAAATAGTCAAACATAAAAGAAATAAAAAAAAATTTACATAAACAATTATTAAGTAATATGTTTAATTTACACTTATTTTTTTATTGCTAGTTCAATTAAAAATGTATAAATATTTATACATTATAATATGATTAAAAATTCAATGTCACACTGATCCGATGTGGATATGCTCACTTTTTATAAGTTTTGTCCAATTTTCATACTAAAATTCAAATATGTGATGCTAAGTACTTCAAAGTAAATTAAGAGTATGAGTAACATAAAAAGTAAAAAACCAAAAAGAGACTTAGGTCTCTCATTTAGTCTTAAGTACCTGTTAGAATACTTTGATTTATGCTTGATTTATAGATTGTTTATATTTGGTATCTCTTTGAGAAAGGCAATCAATCCCTCGTTAGTAGGTATTAGAGCACAACAACCTCGTCTTAAGTATATAGAATCATTAAATAATCTATTACTAGACTGGTGGAATTAGATAGCCAAAAACTTTTTTCTCATGGATATGTTAAACACTAGTAACGTAGAACCTTCTACATTTAGATCTTCCTTTCCTTTACCTTTACCTATACTTAGAAAATCCTCTTTTTAAGAGTTAGATTTTGTTTATGAAATTAGTTATATTCTAGAAAACAAAAAGATCTAAGAAACAGAATTTCCTCTTGTAAATCCTTACAATGCTTTCTCTATATCTCCTTCTTCTTCAGTTAGGTCCATAAAAATCCTTCTCAAGCAAAACTCTCAAGCTCTACAAGAATATACTCAAGCTTCCAAGTTTGATCAATGTATTTTTTAATAGAATCTCAAAAACACTTTGTTACTTTTCATATTCCTTCAAAGTTTTCAGAGTAGTGGATAGAGCAAAGATACACCCAAATCCATTTTGGTGCTATCAGAGCTTTTATGGACGAAATGGTATTCCTGTTTGTACCAAGAAAGCCTTATTGGATACAAGGTTTAAATACTACAAGCATGCAGTACTTGACATAGTTCAGACGACACTCAATATAGGAATTGTTTTCTTCACAGTATTCCCCAACTATAACATGTCTCTACAAGATCCAACTTTCTTAGATACTATTCAAGTTCAAATTGTTGGAATCCAAATGAAACAATGCTAGGCAACTCTTCACTACACCACAAACCCAAATAGCACTATTACAATCAAATTTGATCACACCTAGATTTTTCTCCATCAGCCTCTTCCTCATACTTGCATGATACAATCTATTAGATTTTCTTATGATGCAAAATTTTCTTCTTTCCAAGAATTCAACAAAGATCTGTACAGACACATCTCAAAAATCTCAATTCCTACTAATAAAGAAGAAAATGGAGACTAAATAAGAATTTCTCTTATAAAGCAATCTTGAATTGGCAAATAAAAAACTTTATTCTTCATAATGTAGCCATGCATAAGATAGAGAATAAGTTAAACCAAGTAAGCCAACATTTTGACCAGAATCTTGTTAATCTTCATAATATTATTTTGACATCTAAGCAAAAATAATTACTGTAGATCAAAAGCTCAGATAGCTGGTTAAAACTAATAATAATTACACTTATGCTTTTGTTGAAAGAGAAAAAGAAATGAAAGCCTCAAAATTTAGCTTGCAAATCTCCAAAATCAACTCTGTAAAAAATAACAACAACAACCTTCAACCTTAGCCCTAGTATTTTTGCCTCAGTTAACTCTAGAATGTATGATACTCCTTACCAAGCAAACATCCTACCTTCACCTCCAAAACCTTTTTTCACCCTATTTCAATACCAACCCAAACCAAGCACATGAGTGTTTACACCTCTATCCACATCCATCACCTCATAGCCTTAACCAAAACCATTATTTACAACCTTTTCAGAACAATCATTCTACATCCCTCATTCAAACCAATCTCCTTTTGGTACTATTGAAAAATGGATAAAAATATTAAGAGAAAAATAACAAATTGAATAGAAACCCATAAGAATAGCAGAAAACCCACTTCTACAACCCTCAAAGCAAAAAAAAATCACTACTCCAATTACGACCTCCTTTACCACTCCTTACTATATCCCTGAAACCACAATAGATGCTTTTTCTAAACCTTCATCCCAACTTATGATTTCTTCCACACCAAATATCTTTCCCACTTTACTCCAACAATGGCATAGGAAAATCTTCCTTAGTTTTTAGTTGAAAATATCTTCCATACTAGGGATAAATCATATTCAAATTCTGATGAAGTATTTTTTTATAATACTATTAAGATACTCCCATATATTTTCATGATAGAACCAATAATTGAAGTCCTAGATGACAATCCAAAAGTTGATAACTCAGAACCTATGGATAGTGACCAACAACCTCCTTATCTTCTTCAATCTTATAATTCCTTATCTTCATCCAAATTCTTAGTCTTCACAATTGATGACATTCCCTCATTCAAATGACACATAAGATTCCAAGAATTTCTTACATGAGGACTAGTTGAATTAAATTCCAATCATAATCTCACAATGCAAAAGGTTTTAATATGTTTTATTTCATGGTTGGAACCCTTAAGAATATTTGAGATAATATTAATGAATACAGTTACAATTTCTCCAATGCCCTACGATCACAAAAGCTATATCTTAATTATCAACTATATTTTGTGACAAAAAAACTCATCGAATGGACAAAATCAAAGAGAAATTTTCAAGTTAAGATATTATTCGCTCCATCCAAAAGATCTTGATAAACACTACTAACAATTTTCTTAGTACTTTTATCTCCTTAATGGATTTGATGATGTTAATCTAAAACAAAATTTTCTCAACTCAATTCTAGAAAAACTTACCTAACAAACCAAAACTTAACTCAATCTCAAATCTCTTAATTTGAAAAACATTAACCTTGACGACGTTTACAAGGTTATGATAAAAGCTCTTGACAAAATTTGTAAAGAACACAAGTATATTTTGAGACTTGGTAAACAACTCCAAGAAAAAGAATAAACTATGCATTTATTCACCAACTAGTTTACAAATCAAATGTTCTTCAAAAAATTACTCGTCTTTGTTGTCAAAAAAAAAAAAACATTTCAAAAAGTTAAATGCATCCAAACACCTAAAAACTCTCATTTTACCCAACACAAAAATTCTCAAAGATTCAAATTCGACACCAGAAAAAAAAAAAAAAAAAAAAACTCATTTTTACAATATGGGAGAATTGATATATTGGAAAATTAAAAGCTAGTAATTTTTTCTTTCCTAGGGAATTGTCCTAAAATCTTCATGAAATAATAATAATAAAAAAATAAGTTACAAAGCCTTGAAATTAAAATTAAAATTAAAATTCACATAATACAGAACTGTGTTAATTTGCCAAAATAACAAAAACACTGTTTAACAGATAAAATGACCTCACACTATCATTATCCATAGAAAACCTTATGTAGCAGTGCAATGGAAATCCTTCTGTGTCTACTGGGGTTTGCTTATTTCTATAGGTCAATAGTCAAATCCTAAAGCAGCAACCATTGTAGGAATACAATCAAAGGCCATCATAAGCATCTTCAATTTGAAGGGAACATCACATACATTTCTGCTAATAGTTTGATCTTCTAACTGTGCTCAATTTGGGCTGCCGCTAACTAGGTGGTACGATTTACCATGCCATATCCCCTACCCCTCCTACCACCATAATAGCCTCTTCCATAATATGAACCACGTGCTCGACCACCATGAAAACGTCCACCACCACCTCTACCGCCACCACGATGCCTTGGGAAATCGCCAAAGGTCTATATAGATATTGTAAAGCGGAACTTTTATCAAGAATTTAAGATCATTCATGCTGATAAAAAAAACATGCATATTAACAGATAATACGCCAGAGAATTAGGCAAACTCCATCACAAGCCTTGAAGCCATAACTAATGTCAGTTTTAACCATTGTTACTTCTTTGCTCTAATTAAGTTCCGATTCCTTCTATTCCTGGTTGAACTTGTCATACATCAACAAGCCCACCCAACCCACCACCCCCCTTCTCTCTTCCCAACCAAACTATGGTAATAATAATAATATATTAGCAGTCGTAAGTATATTTCTTCTATATGACTACGGCATACAGACAAATAGAGTTAAAGGCTCACAGAAACACAAACGCATACACATACAAATACATACATTTAAATACTCCAATGATGTGAATAATGCAAATGGAATATAGTACCTCCGTATCTCTTTTCATTTGCTCTGAAAATCTAGCTCTCCCGTCACGAGACCCACCATCAAGAGAATCACAGGACAAGGAATCAAAAAAATCATCCTTGACATATACAGGCTGTAAAAGAAGAAAAACAATTGTAAACAAAAAGAATTTAAAAACCAAATCACATAAACTTGTTAGGCACCAACATGCATATGGGTTGAGGAGACAGAGAGAACTACCTTAGCCTCCACTTTCGAGGTTCCAATACTATCTTCATTTTGTAAGTCATCAGCATCTTCTTGAGCTCGGCTACTTTTGCCAAGATGACCCCAAACTTCATCCTTGTTAAATTTCTCATTCATTGCCATGAAATCAAATTCTTCTGTAAATCTGGTTGCTGAACTTGAAATCTGCAGTACCAAATTTTTACATTACAATCAAGCTGAGCCACTGGACTCAATAGGTTGTGGGCCTTGCAAGTTCATCAAGATTGGCAATACAATGAGCAACAGAATAAAGGTCTTACATAGGCAAATTGATTATACACTCTTGGATAAATAACATGCCTTCTAATTGATAGAAGAGTACATTTTTCATTCCCCCCCAACCCCCTTGATTTTCTCATTGTAACAGTGGTTTGAATAATTAATTTAATCTATCAATTTTGGAAGCAATAGGCCATAATATTCAAAATGTGTGTTTTCCTAGGGGGATTCAGTTAGTAATATCATTTCCTTTATGATGAAAGTAACTTAAAATTGCTAAAGACTTTTAACTTTGTTTTTTAATGTAAGATTTTATGAATCATAAAACTTTAAAATACTTTGGAATTCTAATATCATGGTTAGTCAATTCCATGATTATACTGCAATAAGAATACACCACAAAGTTTCCAAAAAAAATATTGTTTGAACTGTTTGTTTTACCTCAACCTTTAGAGTGAAATAATCAAACTATGGAAAACCAGTTTTAATTATCCCAAAACTTTAGACTATTGGATTAGCTTCCCTAACATAGGGTGGGGTACTAAAATTAAAATAAGTTTTAAGGCATGGAGTGCTATTGCAGAAACTTTTCCAAACTTCCATTCCGTGTATTCTCCTTCAAAGACACCAAGTTGGCTAATTCACTCCCAGAAAATTAGCATTGCCACCATATGCAACATAAATAACAATCTGGCAACGCAAAGAAACAGAAAACATACCCCATTTCCACTTACTCTTCCTCTTCCACGTCCTCCTCTATAACTATGATAAGAGTGCATTGGAGATCCATGCAGCTAGGAGGGTTGTGAAGAACCAACAGCAAATGCACCAAAAAGGGGGGAAAATTGCTTGTCAGCAAATATGTAACTATCTCAAGCCATGTAAATTAAAAGTATGCATCCTAACTATTAGAAAGGATAAAGCAATTAATAGCCAATGGTCAAACCAGCAACAGGAAAACAACTAAGGACACCTGGTAATACAATTCCTGATCTGTACAAAAGAAACAAGAGATAAATTGAATGGACAAGTCAAAACATGTCAACATTACTCAAGGGAAAACATTTCTAAATTCAATGAGTTAAAAAATCGATTAGGCACTAGGCTGCCTTGTTTTTGAGAGGTCAGTTGTTTGAAATTCATCTTACAAAGTTAGCAACATCAGTTCACTGACACCAATCACCATGTTAGTTGGATTTCAGAGTCAAGAAGTGGGGTTCCTTCAACCAAAAAGGGGACCAGAAAGAACTTAACTCCCCAAATTATAGCATGTAGTAAACTGCAAATTGGAAATTCTTATTCACTAAATTATGGTGAATTGTTGTCTAAAATCTAAATACTAAATTTTCCAGTGATATAATTTATTTTCAGATGCCTGCAGTTAGACGAGAAATCCCAAAAATTCATGTTTTTTTCTCTTTATTTTTCTAGAGGTAAAGAAAATTGGAATTTAAGAGCAAAAGGCATTGAAAACAGCTCACTATGTACAGAAAAATTATCTTTTGCAGATCGTTTACAATATGAAAGCTTCCAAGTATGAAAATTTTGATAGGGATGTTTTAGTATCAAGTAAGTCCAATGGTAGGCCCTAATTATTGCAACTTTTAGCACAACTTAAAATCTAATTTGTCCTTTTCATCTGTAGGGCAAAATCATGACGGAATACTTGTATGCTCAAAACCAGTAGCACAAACATTTAATTATCTATGATCTCTAGCAACAAGTGACAAATCATTCTTCAGAAAATGGAACAAGAGAGTCAAAAACAGGGAGCAATTCTAAGGAACCAACAAAACAAGGAGAGAGAGAGAGATGAATGGTGAACACAAAGGAAAAGAAGAAACCGCTCCATATCCATCCCTTCCCTCTCAAAGAAAAATAAATGTCAAAGGAGAACTATCAAAGTTATTCACATTTCATAGCCCTTTCACTTTTCACAACAGAAATATGATAATGGAAGCAATACCTTATGATCAGAGGGTGAAGGTGAAGGCAATATTGGTTCCTGTACTGTTTTTGGTAGTTGTGGTGAGGCTTGTGCTAACAATGGTGGTGATGCTTGTGCTGACACAGGTGGCGGTGCTTTTCCTGAAACTGGTGCTGTTGCAGGTGCTGATGTCAACTCTTGAGATGAAACATGCACAACCTCCACATCCTTTTGAGATATTTGTGAAGATATAGACGAAGATGCTGTGACCACTCCAGGTTGTAAAAGCTGGCCTGGGGTTACTAAAGAAGGAAGCATTCCATCATTCAAAATTGCAGTTGTTGTCCCTATGGTGGAGGAAACAGAATCAGACATGCCTTTGAATGGCATTATGGGATCAGAGACTGTCTTAGGTTTGTCAAAAAGAGACAACATCACAGCACTTTTATCTAAAGCAGCAGTCAATGGAGATACCAATGGCAAGCTACTACTTGAAGCTGCAGTAGGAAGAGTTAAAGCAGAAGCGCTATCTGGATGCAAACTAGCTGATGAGTCTGAAACTACTGTAGAAGACTGTGCTGCAAGCACAGAAGATTGCAAATTCAGGGGGCCTGTACCAATGGGTGGCAGCAAAGGACGAGCGTTTTCAAACAACTGAGAAGTTGGCAAGTTAGAAGCTGCAGTAGGTAACGACAAATTAATGGTTGGATATTGCATAGATTGCAGCATGGAAGGTGGCATTGACAAGCCAGGTGGGGGTTGAAGCAAAGGTTGCTGCTGTGGGGGAAGACCATTTGTAGACCCATAGTAACCTTGCCAGTACATTGGCATGGAAAGCCCGCCATTTGTGGTTGTAGCAGTTGATGAAACCCATGGCCCTAAACTCGGACCAGGTCGATATAATGGAAGACTGCCCTGATATGTTGGCCTGGCAAGTCCCACAGACGAAGTTTGAGAACCTGGATCTTGCATAGATCCAGTACCAGAAGAAGGCAAGCCTGCGGATGCAATAGCTGACTGGGGATAATGAGACTGCAAAAGAAAGGAATTGGAACAAATTTCAGCAATACATGTATATGTATTGAAGTTTGAGAAATAATAAAATTTAATTCCAATAACCACCACAATGCCATTTTGTAATGTTATTTGACACTGAAAGCAGTAGTAAAAAATAAATTAAGAGCTAGTGATGGAGAATGGGAATATCCTAACATAAAGACTAAGTTATTTAGGACTTTATTTTATAGTTTATGATTTTGATTGCAACTTGTATAATTATCTAAGCTATTTTAGATTATTTAGGCTATTTAATATGAATTAGTATTTTACTTATTTTCTTAATGTTAGTGCTAAGATTTTAGATGTTTGGTATTTTATGTTTTATTAGGGTTTAGGTTCAGTTATAAATACCTTAGTTGTAATAGCTTTAGGAGATTTTGATTATTGAATTATTGAGAATTTTCTGGAAATTGAGTATTGAGATACTTGTCCTACATCAGCTACCCTCAAATTAATTTGATTATGCATATCTACACATCTTAGCAATAGATAAGACACCTTTAAGCACAGTGATGAACAAGGAGGGAACGAAGAAAGGAAATAGAATTTAGAGCGAAAGTAAGGATAAGAAGGAAGAAACAGAGGAAATTGGAGAAATAAGAGAACAGGGGAGAGAAAACCAGAGAGAACTGATGGAAACAGCAAAATCTCATAACAATTTTCCAAATTCCAATGAGTCATTGTTCAAAACCACTAGAAACACAAATAACATTAATACTTATAAGCTACACCCGAAACCCAACTCAAATGTGTAGAATATCCTAAACACTAGAAATTAAAATATAACTAAAAGAACTAAAGTATTTTGATTCTTTCTTCGCTAAAAAGTACAATAATAGCAATAATACTCAAGATCCAGAAATATGGTAAATATCATTCCATATAAACTTGATGATACAACCGAATCAGATATAATTTACCCGTTTCAAAAGCTATATATTAGTAGTAGAAAATAGCAATATATAAGAATTATTTTCTTTCCTCTACCTGTATAATAGCAGGATCATTGTGTATAGGTGCTGGGGTCAGAACTGGTGGAGAAGATTTAACCTGCAAGTCCTGTAAACATATGCAGAACAAGAAAAAAGAACACATTGAAGATGCTAATGCGGAGAATAGGCTTATATAAAATTCCAGAGAACAAGAAATTTTCTTTCTTCACTAAAAGTATATGGAATCAAATTGTAATCTAGCAAATGGGGTCTCTAAACTACAATCTTTTAGTACAGATAACTCTCTCTCTCTCTCTCTCTCTCTCTCTCTCTCTCTCTCTCTCTCTTTTAATTTTGGAGCAGATAAATCTAAAATGTTGGTTTTAGTAGTGTAAAATCTACATTCTTTCCTAGTAGCGTAATCGCAGCTTTCAATAACAACATGAAGTTAAGCAGCAAACATTAATCTTACTTTTGTGGTCATTTAAAATGTCATCTATAAGTCAAGCACTATAAAATGAAGCACCAAAAATTTAGCCTGCTGACCAGACTGAGCTCCAGTTACATATCAGTTGCAATCCTAATACATGCTTTGGCACAAATATACAAGACTAAGTCCTAATGCACTTGGCAAATGAAAACCAAAAGTTAATAAAACACTTTATTTTTAATCAATGCCACAATGAAACCATATAGCAGTGGCCGCTTAGATATTGCACTAGCCACAACTAGGCATCATAGCATGAAAAAGTCAATTCTACCAAGAAATTGTCTTTCCATGAAAAAAAATACTCAAAATTGTCAGTGTTATCATAATCTGGCTATGTAATACCATATTGAATAATTACAGAAAAAGATAGAGATAAAATTGAATCTCATAAAGATTATTCAAGGACAATAGTTTTGTTGAATAGATTTATAACACCAAGAAAATTCTGAAGCTTGGAAAGTGTTTTAATATGAGCCAAAAGAAACTTCTAACACACTTTACAAGCAATAATAGAAGGGTGATCAAGCAACATAACAACTTTTGCATTTTCGAGCCTCTTTTGCCCCCAAGTCTGGATAGCAAATGAACAACTTATGGCACCATAACAGAAGCAAAAAGAAGATACTTGCAACCAGAGAAATTGCCATTGGTACTCTACAACAATTCAGCATTTCCTCAAAAACAGTGTACTAAGACCAAAATTCAAATTCATTGTCCAATGCTTTATCCATGATCAATTGCCACAAGCAAAACTTCCTAATTGAAAAGGCAGATAATAGTACTATCAATGTTCATTAGTCCCCATAATATTGGTATACCTTGATATCACTTCCACGGAAGAGTATGTACTCATAAATTTTATCACTTGCTGGAACTTGTGGACCATCTTTCTTTCGCCCTTCTGTTCCAAATGACCTTACTGGAATGTTGAAGGAATAGAAGTTATTTAGAAGAAGGATAAAGTTACATCTTAACACCCAAAAGAACAAGAAGAGTCGGTAAGCATAGACTAGGCCTGTCATAACCACAAGCAAAGGAATAACATTGGAAGGAGCAAGATTCTCACATTTGCAGCCCTAACAGCCACACCCTTTTCTAGTCTAAATGGGGTGATATTATATAAATGGTTACACCATGCTCTATCATCTAATAGTCCGAATATATTATCTGATTTCATAATAGATACAACACCCATTTTATTTTATTTTTGAATAAGCCAAGAATTTCAATTTTTATATTCTTACTGCTATAGCAATCCATGTCAATAATAATACTTAACCTTTCCATTTATCCTTCACTTTTTTTATTAAATTTCCAACAAACTTCCTGGTGTGAGAAACTAGCATTAACTATTTTACAAAACATTTTAGAATAGACTATTAACAATTCAAAATCCTTGATTATTTCTGAACTCATGCAGTGCCAAATTTATAGCCGCTGCTTAGTTACCATTGAGAGCTGTAAAATGTAACGCTCTTATGTGTTTTACAGTTGTTATGTTAAACATACTGGAAACTGTGTTATGTATTAGTTTTAGTTGGCAGCCAAGAGGTCCTATAAATAAAGATATAAAAAAGATGTTTGAAAGTGAATCGGAGAACAAATTCTTTGCTACTTTCCAATGTTTTCAGCCTTATAACACTGTTTTTGTTTTGCTTCTCCAGATTACCCACTTGATTGGCTTTCTCTTCTACGCACCTGGCCTCCTGGGTATTTAGTCCAGTTGCTTAAACAGTCAACATTCATGTCACTTACACCCAATGACCCAACAAAGAACTTGAAAAAGTGAAACTTTTGAAAGCATCCCAAATTCAACCTTAAGGAAACAATTTAAATAAACTATTTCACCATAACAGACAAAAACCAGAAAGTAAAAATCCATTACAGAGCTCAAATATCAAAACAAAACACAAAGAAGAAAACCCAGTAAAGAAAAAGAGTTTTTTTTTTTACCATTTCTCAAACCAATGCTGGATTCTTCAGTGTTGATGTTAAAGAGAACACCTTCATATCTGATTTCAGACTTAGAAGTCAAGCTTATCAAGCTGCCTATGTATGAATCAGGAGACCCAGCAGTTGAAGATCTGGAGCTCTCTGTTGAGGCCATGCCCTTTTAGTTTTTTGCAACAACGCTGGCTTCTTTCTTTGATTTTTCTTTTCCCCTATTTTTCTGTCTAAAAGCGAAAGAGAGAATGGTGCCCTATGCGTGCAAGCAACAACCTATGAAGCTTTGTGCTTTGTTCACTGCGTTTTTTCCCTGTCCTGTGCTTCTAGTTGTTAAAGCCCAAAGGCCAAAACTCCCGCCCGTCTCCACTTTACAGTTTGGACTCAAATTTCAAAATTGCCATATAAATTGCTTGTTTATAGCTTAGACTCATTTCGATAAAATTAAAAATAATGATAATATTAAAATTAATTATAATGATAGTGAGATTAAATATTATAATTGTGATATTAAAATTAATTGTATTTTTATTTTTATTTTTTATATTGTATTTATCCTCTATTCATATTTAATAGATATTTTAATTTTATTTCTATCTCAATTTCTTCAAATATTTAATGGATATAAATAATCTTTGTACCTATGGTTTCAAAATTTTTTTTAGTTTTTTATTTTTATCTTGCATATTTATTTAATTTATTTATATATTTTTTAAATAAAAATATATTAATTCTAATCAATATAAAATATATTTATTAAATATATAATATATAGGCAATGGGTCTAGGTATGGGTCAAGTGCTATATTATCTACCCCTAATACCAATAAAATATTTAAAATCATACATATTCACATCCCTCTTCCTTAAAATTTAATACTTACTAACATAATACTCACGTGTTGCCATAGGAATCCACTGTTAAATGCATGATAATAATAAAACTTTAAAAAAATATATTTATATCAATTAACTTAATACTATTATGACAAACATATAAACCACAAAACCTAACAATTTAACTTGCATTTATCAAAGCAAGTAAGCAAATCTGCAATTCTAGTGTCCAAAAACTACTACAGTTTCCTCCTCTTTCTTTTCCAAATTGGTGGACAATAATTCAGACTAAAGACATCTAAAGTCAAACCTAACAAAAACAATAGATAATGATAATATTTCTAAGTAATTGAATACTCAGAACCTTCATTTTATAAAAGGAATATAGTCAAATTCTGCAAAACAAATCAAATCAATTTATCAAAAGTGAATAATTGGATTCTTGATTTACTTATTCCTACCTAATTTACCAATGAAAAGAAATTATTTTGTTGGACCTTGAACTAAACAAAGAATGATTAGCTCAGTAAAAAACAATCATGTTGGAAAACCACCCTTTATCTCCATCCAATATTGTGTCATAGCTTGTTTTAATTTATCTCTTAAAATAAAGATTAATGAAAATAATAGTTATAAAAAGCAATCAAATCAAATTGCATTATACCATGAATGTTGATAATTTAACAAGAATTTCATTGTAAAAAATCTGTTAGTTCATACTAATTTAGAATGATGATTCATGTCCAAATGTTTCTAAGATAAGGAATAGTTCTTGAAAACTTACACTAACCAAGAAACCTAAGAAAAAAAAAAACATCGTACTATATTAATCCATTGCTATGGTTGTCAAAGAACTAGAAATCTTTATTTATATTATCTTCCCTCTCAATCCAAAATCCACTTCTTTAGATATAGTGGCTTATATGTATAAAATTAAGATGCACATAAAAAATAAACATGAAATTTATAATAGATTAAACAAAGGCAACGATTTATGCCATATAAAGTTGGACCATGGTAGCATTAATCCAAAAGTACTAGTCCTAGCTTTCCTCTAAGCAGGTAAGAGTTCATCAACATCAATTGCTTTAAATCTAAAATCATCAAATGGCATTGCATCAAAATTTTATTTGTAGTGAGTACAAAGTCTGATACAACATGATTTTTATGTTTTATTGTTATGCCTATTCTAGGAATGAGAACTTTTTTAGATATTAAAAAAAAAAGAATGAGAACTTTTTAACCAACGTGTACACCAAATCTAATCTTGGGTTTTATGACATTGTGTTCCAATTAAGTGACTAAAAGATCACTTCCATTACACATGATAGAAGTTTGGTTCAAATTTCTCAAAAGTATTATGGTACAACCTATTTTCAAATTAAGTTAATTGATTGCTTTGAAAGAGAATTTCAAAGAATAAAAATTCTAGTGGATAAAGTAAATCCTTATATGATATGATATAAAATAATGTGCTTTTGATATAGAGTCAAAACTTTATAAAAAAATAAACAGCATTAACAAAAGACTAACCTATAGATTAGGATAAAATAAAAACTCAAACGAAGCAAAATTTTAAGAGTTACTATATCATCCAAGGTAGGCAAATAAGACCTAAACTATATGTAATGCAACCAAATTTTGAATACAACAGAAAACTGATAAGATTCATAACAAAATCTATATCAAGACAAGCAAATAACTTTTATCACACTACGGACAACATTAAAAGTAGAAAAATAAAAATCAACTTTTAAAAAAATACATACAGTGATCAATATTAAGGAAAATTCATTGTCAACCTATACAAAAAGTAAGAAAAGAATAAAACCCAATCAAAACCAAAGTAAAGATAAATGAACTTGTTCAACATTTCAACTTCCTTTCCAGCTCAAATTAAACATTGGATGAAGGAATAAGAGCACATTATCAATAGGGTAATTATATTTTGTGTTCTAACAAAAGAAATAAAGAAATTTTCTTAAAGTATCTTTGTGCCAACTCAATAAGTAAACTCAAGTTTGATATTGAAATTTGAGGTTGCCTATGAACAACTCCTTAAAAACATGTGTGTGTGTGTATATATAGTCAATGCCTATACGATGTTTAGAGTATCTTAAAATATAGAAAAAAAAAACAGATTTGATTTGTATAAAATTGCTTAAAAAACTTATAGTCTAGTTATCCAATTAGCCTGCTCTAATTACAATTCCATTAATGTAACCGCATTGTTAGCAAATTAATACTTTTAATTTGATATGTTACTGATAATGAAATACGTTTGAAATGGATAGTTCATAGTGCTAATATAAAGCTATCAAACCATGCAAATAAATTTTAAAAAAAAGCTAAAAATGGATTAACAATAAATTAAGATATCTTAAATATAGATAAATACATAAATGCATCCAAATTGAACAAAAATAGTGAAAATAATCATCCAAGTTTCTAAAAAAAGACCTAAATATGTAGATATAATTATAAAGAATATATATAAAAAACTTCATTAAAGTCAAACAAACTAAATGATGGATGCATTACTAAGATACATAAATCAATAATAATAATAATAAAGTAAATCAAACTTAGGCAAGATCAATTATCTGAATTTTTCAATATCATCTAAACCTAGCATAATAAGTTCATCAAATCTTGCCTTTGCAATACTAGCTACATAAGAAAGATAATAAAAAAATCAAATACTCATGCATTTATTAGCCCTCAAACTAAGATAAAAGTCATATTATAAATTTATGCCATCCAACTCAAGCACCAAAACTTGATCTTTAACCTAATAGTGATTAATAATGCATAATATAAAATAATCCTCTAACCATATCCAATTCGCATTCATGAAAAGGCCCAAAATCATAGTTCCCACTAAAATTTGCACCAAACCAACTAAATCTTGAACTTTTACATTTCATCAAATTCAATATATTTAAAAAGAACTACAACACAAATCAGTATAAACAAGCTAATAAGATCATACGTCCAAAACGCATAAACACAACAAAATTATTAAAACTCAACACAATCAAAATTTTGAACTGTACATCTAATCAAAACAATATACCTTTGTAAATTAGAAAATGTAAAACATGATAGTAAGTCTATTCAGACCCCAATGTTTTTTTTTTTTATCACACCATCTCATTAGGAATAAATTATTCAAACCTTAAGAAAGAAGTTAATTGAAAACAATAAAGTCAATCATAATTGAAAAATTAAGTTGCATTTAATTTAGGAAGCAACCTTTAATGACTATGGATAGTCATGACCAAAATAATCTTCTAATGTTTCATTGTTTTCTTCAAGCTCATCCCAACCAGAAAAACACAATCATCAAGTAGTTAACAATTTTACTTCCAAACGAATTTTACAAACCAAATCAATTTTTAAAAAAATAATAAAAAAATCCAGCTAAAAAGTAAAAAAAGAAAACTAAGTCTTTCTTTGAAGGTCTTTAAGTCAGATAGGGAGTAAATTAAAAAATTAAATAAATCATAAAACTTAACAACCATTCTTTAATAACACAAAACAATCATTCATTTCAAGTTTTTTGTTCAAATATAAAAATGAAAAAAAAATGAAAAAAAATAAAGACAGATACTCACACATCCTAATAGCGTTAGATATTTAAAAACATATACCTACAAAAACAAATAGTAAAAAAAAATGAAAAATTGTTCTAAAATCCGGGGTTAAAATTTTAAATTTTTCTCCAATTATTTTTCCATGCTCTTACTTTTGAAAAAAAAAAAAATATGAGGGTAGATGAGAAACATTGTCAAATCGAATCCTAAAATTTGAAACTCAAAACCATCACAAATTTGGTAAGAAAATTTAAAAGATCTAGTTTAGTTTGTTAATTTTGTTATAGTAAAAATTGAGAAAAATAAAAAAAAAAAAGAAAAAGAGAAAAAAAAAAGGAACAGTCATTCATATTTGCAACAACAATCTAAGAAAAGAGATCTTGTTTTCTAGAGAGAAAAAATAAGAGTAATCATGGTAGAGAGAAAAAAAAGAAAATGTGAATGAGAATTAAAGGCAATTGAGAAATGACTAATGGATAAGTTAGTTATTGACAAGAAAGGAAAAAAAAAAAGAAAAGAGAATATGAAAAATAATAAAAGATGAATTAAGAATTGACACCAGAAAGAAAAAAAAAATGAGGCTGACTTGGGTAGTCTCTTCTTTCTTCAAAGGCGGGAACAAAATAAAAAGGGAAAAATAAGAGTTGATGACATGGACATCCTCAAAAGGTTCTATTCTCTACAAAATTCATTGTGTGGATTTTATCCTCATTTAGATAAAAATTTGGATTCTCTATCGGATTTGGATAAAATTAACATCATTGTGCTTGCTTTTACTTCACTTGGACAAAATTAGTTTTTTCTTACAAACAAAAATCTAAATAAGATATTATCAGTTATTTTTAAAAAGATTTTACAAGGTGTTTGGTTTGCGAAATTTAAAATTTCTTTTAGGAACATGATTCCTCGTATATAGCTT